CAGCGGATTCTCCAGCGAACCCATCGCCGACCGATCAGGCCGACAGCGATGAGGTCGATTTCGGCGCCGACGAGGCCCGACCAGCGGCCTCGCCGCCGCCTGCCGAAGACGCAAAAGGTGCAGCCGAGCAGGAAGGCAGCTCCTTCCCACCTTCGTTCGACACAGCTGGCGACGCGGCCGACGATAGCCCTTTCGACGACCACCTGAGCGTCTTCGGGCAAGTTGCGGCGGGCGGGAACAGGACCGAGCCCTCTAGCGAGGCGCCGGCCGAAGGTGCCCCCCGCCCGCCCGGACATGGCTCTGCTGAGGCCCGGGAAAGCAGCGGCTCGCAGCGCAGGCCAGATCCTGGAAGTCAAGCGGCCACAGACGGCGCCCCTGGTGGAGACAGAACGCCGACAACTCCCGCGCGATACGGCGCCCCTGGGGACAGGTGACGCAGCAGGGCCGCCAGCCGTGCCTTCCAGCCGTGCCTTCGACGATCTCGTTGACCCCGTGGACGGAGGCCGCATGTACAAGGAGGTGCTGAGCAACGTTGACCTCGACAGGTTCGGCGAGAAGCCAGCAGCCGAGATCGCGCGACTCCAGAAGGACCTGGGAGGCGCGTTCAACGGCGTCTGGCACGCATGCGCCAGGAAGCACCCTGCTGGGGCCAAAGGAATGCCGAAAGGCAACCCTGCACTGAACCCCGAGGCCACCTGCCGCAACTTCCCGGACGCCTGGAAACGCTGTAAATTCGACGCCGATGAGCTGGATTGGCAACTCGACCTGCGGGTTGACTGGGGCGAGGAGCGCGCAAAATCGATGGGGCGCCGGGGCAAAGGCGGCCACCGGCCAAAGGGCCGCGCGCCCAGCTCACAGCAATCCTGGGACTGGGACAGCTGGTCCTGGACACACTCCTGGGGCGCCAACGACTGGCAGACAGGAGGCAAGCGGGGCGGCGACCACAGCGGCGACGGGAGAGGCGACAAGCGCTCCCGCACATGGTGGTGATCCATCTGTTCTTCGGCAAACCAGTGGCCTTCAGCCACTTCCTGGTAGCGCTTTCTGCCTCCCTCGTCTCCTCCTGCGCCACCATTGAACGCGCGGCCTTCTGCCGCTTTCCTGGTCTCCTCCGTTCCCCTTCGACGCCCGCTGCCCCCCGTCCTTGGGGCCCTCGCAGCTGCCTGCTGACAGTGCCGACGCGTGGGCTGCCGCTGGGGCCGTGGTCCACATGTTCTAGTTGGCCCCTGGCCTCGCAGTAGTTGTTTTCACCGCGCCTCGGCGCGCTCCGCCCCCCGCGCCTTTCGGCAGTTGCCCCGCGCCGAGCTGCTTCGCTCCCCGCGCAAGGACGGCGCTGCCGCGCTTCGTTCTGGCCCTTACTCCCTTCGGGCCCCCCCTCGCCAGCCGGGCGTTCCCAGTGCTTCTGGCGCTTGCCGCGCCAGCCGGACGTTCCCCCTTGGTCGCCCCCTCGCCTGCTTCTGGCGCTAGCCGCGCTAATGCAGCTGTCCTGGGTGGGGTGCTTTGCCTTGTTATCGGCAGTTCACTTGTCAGTTCTATGCGTGCTGCCATTCCGCACAGGCGTTCGATGTCGACCTTATCCATCGTATTCCTGGTTGGCAGCATCAGGCGTGTGGCCGATCCGCGCAGGTTTTCGGTGTCGATCCCCTCCATCGTTTTCCTGGCTGGCTCTTCCTCTCGTTCTCGGAGAGGGGATTGCCCTGGATCCTTTCTCTCAGGAGTGAGTGTGCGACTTCGGTGGCGCCGCTCGTGCTGGTTCCTGGTCAGTGACGCATTTATGGCCATCGGTGCTAGTAGTACCTCCTGGAGTGCATTGCGAGCGAGCTGCCCCGCTCAGGGGCTGTGTGCATGGATCCCTCGCGTGGTTTATCCAACGTCAAGTCCTACGCGCCCTCAGCGGTCACTTGTCAACTTCGCTGTCTGTGACCTTGCCGCGCCATTGTGGCTGCGTATAGCTCCTTGGTTCAATTTGTGCATCGGCACTGCCCCGGGATCCTGGTCCTGGTTGCAGTTTGCATCGCCCGTCGGCAAGGTTTCGGGCCCTGCCCCGCTTCCTGGCACCACCTCGCGCAGCCCGGCAGCTGAGGCAGCTGAGCCAGCTTAGGTTCGGCCGTCGGTCCCCGTGCGCAAGGCAAGTAGGTTCGCGCGTAGCCCGCCCGACCTCCGACGCCGCTGGCGCCCGTTCCCTTCGTCAAACGTACATTTTTACCATATTCGATTTTTTGGACTTCGCACCGTCCTTTACGACCTCAGACTCTCCCTGGACCGCCCCAAGACGGCCCGCGAAGCCCACGGGGGATCCCCAAGACGGCCCCAGAGGGGCCCAGGACAGTCCAAGAGGCGCCCAGGACGGCCCAAACGCGCCCCCGAAGGCCCCAAGAGGGGCCCCATACGGGAAACCCAACTGAACCTTCCAGCCATTTCGCCCCAGGAGGCCCCCAAGAGGCCCCTAAGAGACCCCCAAGAGGCCCGAAGAGGCCTCCAAGACGCCCGCGGCAGGCCCCAAAGGGCCTCCAGAGGCCCCCCAAGAGGCTTCCAAGAGGCCTCGCGAGGTTCCCAGGAAGCCCCCAGGAGATCCCCAAGAGGGCCCCAACGGGCTTCTGAGAAGCTTCGCGAGGTTCCCAGGAAGCCCCCAGGAGATCCCCAAGAGGGCCCCAACGGGCTTCTGAGAAGCTTCCCCAGAAACCTTCATGTACGTCTACATGCGGCCTCCGGTCCAAAAACCTGAGACAGTTCCTGGGGCGCCGCCTGATTGGCGCAGGTTTTCTTTGTCTCTGACAATGGGTGGAGCGGCAGCGACCCTTCTCTCTGGGGCCGGCTTTTCAACGCCCTGTGGGCCAAGATCCGTTTGAGGTGTGCGCCGTTTTATGCGGGGGGGCGCTATGCGAATCCATCCTGTGGTGCCGTACGTGGAACTCTCAGTGCGGGGCCTGGGCTAGAACCTGAGCGCCCCCCCGGCCTGGGCTAGAACCTGAGCGCGCGCGAAACGCGCGCGATGGTTCTAGTGTAGTGTGTTTACGGACACACATACGTATGTGTACATGTAGGTGTATATGTATATGTAGATGCACACATTTTTACATACACGTTTGTATATGGCATGGGTCCATATGTGTGGTGCAAAATTGCAGTAGAAGTGGTGCGATCCATGAGGCACAACATATGTTGCGCAACATGTGCGGACCCGTCTATGTGGTGCAATATGTGTGGTACAACTTATGTTGTGCAACACATTGTGTGCTAGCTATGCTGATCACTCGATGTGCTGCGACCTATGTGGTGCAATTTTTGTAGGACAACCAGCATGGTACAATACATGTTGTGCACCGCATGTTGTGCAATCTGCGTTGTCTAATTGATGTGGTGCAGTTTGTGTGGTGCAGTGCATGTTTTGCAATCTATGCGAATCCATATACGTGGAACAGTCCAGATTGTACAATAGATGTTGTGCAATATAGGTGGTGCGATCTATGAGGTACACTTGATTCTTATAGACGACTTGTCACATTCCATGCGCTTGCAAACATTTTACCCACCCACCCGTAACTTGGCTTGCAAGCCCGTGCGGTGGCGATTGCGTTGCATGCTCAGCGTTGGCTGGTGCATCTCTACGGCCGCGCCAACCCAAGCGCGCGCAGCGGCCAGCTTGTTTGGCGCGAGCCACGCGGTCGCAGTGGCGCTGACCGCTGGGTGCATCCCTGCTGGCACTTCAGTGCGAATCGTCGACTTCGGCGGGCGCAGTATCATGGCAACGTCGACAATGGTAGACGCGATGATGATAGTAGCAATGCTGGTGACGATGTTGACAACGACGACGGTGCGGCCAGTGACGGCGCCGATTCTGATCACGCCGACAACGATGCCGGCTTCCTCGCGTCGGTGATGAACGTTTTGGAAAGAGTGCGACATGCGCGCGAGGCCGACGCGCGAGAGTGGCCCGCATGGTATTATGTGACACATCTGCGCGAAGTCTGTGTGGTAGCATTTTCTGAAATTGTTGAAGCACCTATGGTTTCCGGAAGGATTTGTAAGAGCGCGCGCGCAAGTTTTATTTTGAAGCTCCTTGCAGCTATTCCTTGTGTTTCCCCCCCATGCTTTCTGGGCACTCGATTTTGAAATCTTTACGACTCCGAAAGTTTTGGAAGGATTTCGGCATGCGCGTGCGACGACGCGCGCGTGTGCACGTCGTTGCATTTTGAACAAGGGGTTCTTGAAAGCTGGTGATTTTGAAATAACGAGTGCGCGCGCAATATTTGTTGCGGGGGATGGCGGGGTTGTGGCGGATACCGCCCCCCCCTGGGATAGTGTGAATTCACATTTAGGATGGGCGATGGGGCATAATCATATGTGCATCGCAATGCGAAAAGGCGGGTCGATAATTCCGCGGGTGTGGGGGGGGGGAGTTTATTTGGTTTCTAGATCGGAGAAGCTATGTGTCATGTAATATGTGTGGGGTTGGTGGGGCTGTGGCAAGCTGGCCTGCGCGGGAGTTTCTCGTCGGCGAGCCTGGCGATCGTGGCGTCCATGTTTACCATGTCGCGCACCGTGGTGGTCGAGTGCTGCTACTCATGCGAGGTCGACGCACGGGCGGCGATAGTTGCAGATTGTAATTTCTAGGTGGAGTTGTTGCGTGTGCTCCCGATGCAGGGCATAGGCCAGCTGGTCCAAAGTTTCGCGCGCGCCGACTGGAAGGTGCACGCGGGCGACCTGTGCGCCCAGCAGCAGGCGGCCCAGCGCAAGTTGGTGAAGGCCACGGAGGGGGGGGGGGTCGATGCGGCTATGAAGGAGTTCGACCAAGGGGGCCTGGATTCCTCGGTGGGCAAGGATGGGAAGTGCTGCGTGCCCGCCAGCGCTCCCGCGCTGAGGACAGCCCTGGGCCTGCCAGTGAGGGGGGGAGGCGTCGTGGTGCAGGCCAGCCACGGGCGCGGGCCTCGGGGTCGACCTGCCGATGCCGTGCCACTCGGCTAGGCAAAAACGGCAGCGGAGAGCGGTGGCGTTGCGAGGTCGAATTGCTCGGCTGGTTTGTCTGGGGGACAGCTGCTGCAGTTGAGGGGGTCGGCCGTCGAAGCTGGGCGAGGCAAGGTCGGAGGTGCGTCCCTGTCGCTGATGCTGGCCACGGGAGGAAAGCAGGGCGACCCCGTGTGCAAGGTGGCGGCGGTGCCGATCGTAACGTGGGCAGCAGCGGTGCGGGGCAGGGCGGGTGCGCGAGCCAGCCTGGCCAACGCGCGGCGCACGCGGCAGATTGAGGTGGGCTGCGTCGGTGGATGACATGAGGTTCGGGGGCCTGCTGGGGCATGCGTGTGTTGCTGAGTCAGGCTAGGTGGTCGTGGCCTGCGTAGATCACGCGCCGCGTGTGCTCGGGTCTGAACCTGCGCCTTGCCAAGGTGCGCCCCATGGACGTGCGGGCGTTGCTCATGCTGGACCTGGAGCTCGAGATGTGGGAGAGGCGCGCCAATGAGGAGGGCCTCGAAGAGTGGCCCCGCGCCCTGGCCCGCGCCGAAGCGGAATCCCGAGGCCGAGTAGGGCCGGCATGTGGCCGGCGCGGCGAGGCGGGCGGTGGCGCGCGGAGCGCGGACGCAATGCGAGCTCTAGTGCTGGGGTATTGCGGGGAATCCGAAGAGTCAGGCATGTGGCACAGAGAGGGGCACCGCCCACCATCGCAATTTCAAATGTCAGGGCGCAGTACGGCACCGCCCCGAGGCCCCGTGGAGGTGACAGCGCGCGGCGGAGGAGGGGCCTTCCAACCTGGTCTGGGCGCGTCGGTTTCCGCGGCGCCCAGCGGCGGACTGGGGCTTCCAGCCTGGGTGATGGGGGGCGCGAGCAGGGGCCCGCCGCCCTGGCAGGGGAAGCTGCGAGGCAGGAGGAGGAGGAGAGCCCAGGCCAGGATAATGAGGATAGCTACGACGATAACGAGGAGGACGCACTCGGCCTCGGAGGCGGAGCCGCGAGCCTCAGACCGAGCCTGAGGCGGCAGGAGGCCGTGGCATGAGCGAGAGGCAGGTCGGCAAGGACCGAGGTCGCGCAGGAGGAGACCGAAAGGGGGGCGGACAATTCAGATCTGCGGCGGAGCTGGGCGTCGGCGAGGCAGGCTGCAGGCCCAAGTGCAGCCAGATCCCGCAAAGGAGATATGCAGGAGGTGGAGTTCACTGGGGGTGGCTGTGTGCGACGGGTCGAAACTGGGCAGCTCGGTGCGGGCGCAGACAGGGTGGGCTGTCATGCTGGTGGATGCTGACATCGTGCAAGCGCGCCCCCCGCCCCCTGCCAGTGGACCTGCAAACGCAGCCCGCCATCGAGAGGCCTGAGCTCTGGGGCTCCCTGCAGGTGTTGCGGCGCACCAGGGCGGAGGCCATGGGCGCGAACGAGCAGTGCGTGATCTTCGCCGACCGCCTGGCTTTCGTGCTGGGACTGCGCCGCGGGCGGGGTTGGTGCGCCACCGCCAGGAGGGCTCGCGCGGACGTCTGGGGGCATATTTGGTTCTGCCTGGGGGAGCGCGAGGTGCCCGTGAAAGTGGCGAAGCAAAGCAAGGCGCGCCGAAGCCGAGCGGCGATCGCGTCCATGGAGGGGCCTGAGAGGAGAGATGCCCTCGGGCATCGGGGAGGTCGACGTCCGGCCGAAGCAGGCGGCGCGGGGTGTGGCTAGGACGTGGCGGTCAAGGGCGCGAGCCAGAAGGTGGCGCGGGCGCTCCGCGACGTCGGCTGGCGGCGCGGGCGACTCGATGGCTGGGGCGACGTGCGGCCGCGGGCCGTGGAGGAGCGGCCCAAAGAGGTGGGCGCAAGCAGCTGCCCCCTGGACCGAGCGCAGCGCGGTCTAGGGGCGCGCGGAAAGAACGCGCGTTGTCGCGCGCGCAGACGAACGGCCGTCGCCGAGGTTGCGCGCTGGCTCCTGCAACCCCGGGCCGCGGAGGAGGATGAGCGCGACGGGGGCGGGCGACCCCGACGATGTGTCGCGATCCTCGGGCGGCGCCCGGCGAGGCCGAGGCAGGTGATCGAGGGGGGGGGGTCGAGGACGTGGGGGGTGGCAGTGCAGCGGGCGAAGGGCTGAGGACAGGAATCGCCTCCAGTGCGTCGCCCGCGGAGCCGTCGCGCGGCCCGGCGCAGTCTACGACGGCGAGGGGCGGCGCCGTGGGGGGCCGGATGACAGGAAGAGCCGCCAGCGCGGTGCCTGCGGGGTCGTCGCGCGGCGCCGTGCCAGCGGCGATGGCGGGGCGGGGGGCGCGCGAGGCCGAGGGGCCAACTGCCGTGGACGGGCCTCCGTGCCCCTTTGTAGCGGGCGCCCAGGAGACCAGGCTCCGCAGCGGCATGGCGGGCAGGGCGGCGCGCTGGGCCCCCGGGGTCGACGGCGCGGAGGCAGTGGCGAGGTCGTGGGCGCGCCTGATGATGACGCTGCAGTTGCCCGCGCAACGCGGCTGGGTGGAGGCGGCGAGCGGCGGCGGCTCCCCGAGGCAGTTGGCCGAGGAGCTGTGCGAGGAGGCCCGGGGGGCGAGCGCGCGACGCCGGGTGGCTTTAATCGAGCGCCTCCGGGTGCGCGGCGAGCTCGGCACCCAGGCAGGCCAGGCAGCAGCGCTGGCCAGCCGCTGGTGGGCGCTCGGGTGGGCGCGCGACGAGCGCCGGGAGCTGCTCGGCGACGGGGCGCCAGGCGCGGCGAACTGCGACGACGAGGGGGGCGACAAAGACGAGAGGCCGAGAGTCTCCAGCCTGGCCGGCGAGCAGCAGGGCCGCAGGGCTGCGCGAGCCCCTTCGCAGGCAGCTGCTGGAGGGGGTGCAGCGTAGTCGGGCCGCCTCGTCGGCTCCATGGGCTCAGTGGCCCCGATGCCCCTTGTCGCGTGCGTCGCCCCTGCTAATTCATTAAATTTCCAGAGTCGCACCCTGCTACTTCGAGTGATTTCCACTCGCGCCCAAATCCTTCAACTGTCTCGTCTCAATCAATTCCCAGATCTGGACCCAACTGATTCAACCAATTTCCAGATTCGCACCCAGCTGATTTTACTACTTCAAGTAATGTCAGATTCGGGCCCAGCTACTTCAACTACTTCAAGTCACTCTTTGATTCGCACATAATGCTTCAACCAATTCCCGCGCTCCGGGGGGCCCGACCACCCGCGTGGCGGAGGCCCGACCAAGAGTGCCATAATTACGGGGAATTCCCCCACCGGCATTTCAAAAACACGCAAAGCAGAAATGTTGCGCGACCAAGAATTCAAACGCACAATCACCCGCGACCCATGGTTTACAGGAGGCCGTCGTCCGTCGTCGTCGTCGTCGTCGTCGTCGTCGTCGTCGTCGTCGCCGTCGTCGTCGTCGTCGTCCGTCGTCCGTCGTCCGTCGTCCGTCGTCCGTCGTGGTCGTCCGTCGTTGCTGTCTGGCCTCGTTCGTCGTCGTCGTCGTCGTCGTCGTCGTGGACGTCGTCGTTCGTCGTCGTCTGTCGTCGTCGTCTCCGTCGCCGTCGTCTTTGTATTCGTCGTCGTCGTCGTGGTCGTCTGTGGTCGTCCATCCATCGTCGCCCGTCCGTCGCCCAGCGTCGTGCTTGTCGTCCGTCGCGGCGGCCGTCGCCGCCGGTCTGCCAGTCGCCGCCGCCGCTGGCGTCGCGGACGATGGCGGCGGCGGTGGCGACGTCGTGGGCGACGGCGTCGGCTGCCGCCGCTCGCTGGTCGCCGTCGCTGCCGTCGCCGTGGGCGACCGCGGCGGCGCTGGCGGCGGCGGCGGCGCCGACGTCTTGGATTCGGGGGGTTGGGCGGCGGGGGGGGGGTCTTGGAGGGCCGTCGTGGGCGACAGTGGCAGCGACGGCGGCGTCGGCGGCGACGGCGGTGGCGGCGGCTGCGGCGGAGTGGCCGTCCCAAGTGTGGTGCGCGTCGAGAAGGGAGGGGGGGCGCGGAACTGGTCGCGCGTGAGACGACCACTGCGGCTCAGAGAGAAACGTTACCAGCTCGTGGTGCGCGCCATCAGCCGTTTTTGTTGTAGTCTTCGATTTAGCGTTGAATTCGTTTGCGTTGGTTGCCCCAGCAATTTTGCCCCCCTCCAGCAACCGTACCACAGTCGTGCTTTTCGCGAGGTATTGAGCCGCTCGCTGGCCCGGCAAGTTTGCTGGCAATGTTGGATTAATTCAGTTTTCTCTTGTCAGATAGCAGATATCAGGGGAAGACGCACACCCAGAAAACATGTACAAACATGGGGACCCTTAGAATTTGTGTGCATTTATTTGTGCGTCCCTGGGCCCCATCCAAGATATCTCTTCTAATTCAATAAGATTATTTCGAGCTAATTCGGAGCAGGTGGTCGGAGCTGCGCGGTCGGCCCAGCGGGATATGCTGCGATCGGCCATGTGCGTGGTGACTTGGATCGGCCGACTAATCTGCGGGGGGTGGCAATAATGCTTGATGCCGAGTGGCCCCGATATTTGCCTGGACGATGGCCCGCGCCCGTCACGCGCGGGTCGGCCCCCGTATAATCGGACGAACACGTGTAGATATCTACCGACGTGCACGCTGCGCCCCAAGCCCCAAAAGAGTCCGGCGCAGCGGTCTCAGTAGTTCGCGCCTTCATGCAGCAGCGTGCGCGTCGGCGAGTTGGAGCGGCGTTGCTGTTGCAGGGGGAGCTCGCGTCCTAACGGTCTGCAGCGGGGGGCTCGCCCAGTTCTCCGTCCTCCTCTCTCCGCCCTCGCGGTTGCGCTGTTGGTTCGCGCTCGCTGTGGGCCCGTGGGCCCGACCCCCGGTGTCTGGGCGCGGCGGCCCGTCTGCCTGGCCCGTTTGTCTTTGTTCGTGGCGGCGCGGTCTGTCCAGTGTAAGTCGGGCCCCATCGGTGTGGCGCGTGTTTCGGTGTGACTTTTGCCCGTGGCGTGGCCGAAGTCCCTTGCCGGGCTGGTGCTTTGGATTGGCCGCTAGAAGGTTCCGAGGCGCTTTGGAGTGCGTCCGAACTCCCAGGGCATCCTGAAGCCTCTGTGGGGGCTTTTTCGAGTTTTGCTAGGGGCCCCTGAAGGCCCTTCGGGAGCCTTGGGGCGCCTCCTGGAGGCCCTCGGACTAGCTGTATTCGTCGGGGCTGTCGCGGGCGCGGCCGGGGATTCCCGGCGCGGGCGGGGGGCCGGGGGGCGAGGATCTGCCGGCCCGTGGAGGAGGCGGCAGTCGGGTGGCAGGGGGGCCCGCTGGAGCGGAGCCTGCCGGGCCAGCGCCCGGCCCCGCGCCGGCGGCGACGGCGAGGGGCCGCGGCGCGGGGGGGCTGGTGGCAGGATGGGGCCGCCGGCGCGGCGCTTGCGGGGCCGTCGCGCGGCAGCGCGCCACCGGCGACGGCGAAGAGTCAGGGGCGGTCCGGGGTGGCTCGCCTCCCGCGGGCGGCCAGAAGGAAGGGCGTGAGATAGAGTCGACTACGCGCGAGAGTGACATTTCGCCGGAGTGACCATTGGCGCGGGCCCAAAGGGCCCTCCCGATCGCTGAGCGCGAAGCGGCAGCAGCGGCTTGCGCGCTCAGCTTTGGCCGGCCCGCGCCCCCCGTTGAGCCGCGCGCCAAAGGTCGCTCTTACCCAGGTCACTCTCACGTGTGGCCGATAGAGGCGATGGGGAGCTCGGCTCCTTGGCCGCGCGAGGCGAGGCCGACCGCGCCGCGACGGGCCTCGGCGGCGAGATGCCCGCGGAGGTCAGCCCCGC